CCATTCTCATTATGGCCCCCACCCGCCGCCCAGGGGTGGGGGCCGGGGGGGCAGTAGGTCCCCCCCCATTCTCACTTATGGCCCCCACCCGCCGCCCAGGGGTGGGGGCCGGGCAGGGGGCTACTAGGTCTCCCACCCCCATTTTAGTAGGGCCCCCACCCGTGGTTTATTTGGGGTTTAGGGGGGGGCCAATAGTTTTTTTTACAGTGAGCAGCCACAGGCTGCTCACTGTTTACCAGACATGCCCCTACTCGCTGTATAGCGAGTAGGGGCATTTAATTTACTAATACTAAGTAATCTTTACTTAGTATTAGTAAATGTGGCTGAAAGACCAATTTAGGTCTTTCAGCCTTTTAGTAGATAGCTCCCTGATACCGTGGGAATTAGGGAGTTATCTACTAAGCGGCTGCAAGATGCAGCCACAGCATGAATAGGATCGAGTTTCATTCATTAGAATGAAATTCCGATCCGAATAAAGTGCCGAATTGCGTTCTAAAAGAAACGAACAGACTGTTCTCATTCAGTTAGAATGCAATTCGGCAGTTTTGTGGAAAGTGACAGGAAGCATTATGGGAACACAGAGGAAAGCTAGGGATCATGGGAAAATTGCTCTGACCAGCGGAAATGAAGCACACTTTGCTCCTCCGCTGGTCAGAGCTGGTCAAGCGGAGGAATCCTCCATAAGGCAAAGAGTCCCTACTTTGTCTTATGATTTTAAAGAAAACTAAAGAAGATAGGAAGAAAAGAATAACAGATCCTGAGAGGGGGGGAGAAGAGGAAGAGATTGAGGAAAGGTAAGTTCGGCATGACAGTGCCGCTTTAAGCTGAAGTGGTCTGGGTGCCTAGAGTGGTCCTTTAAGTGTTGTTTTAAGCATCAAGCATTTCCTGAGTCCAAGTTAGCCAATTTTAATATATGATATCATTATATGACACCTATAAGCTTGAGCCTTGGAATCAAGATAAATTCTATCACAATAACAACTCCATGAAATATTTACATTGACTATGTTGGAATTTCACTGAAATTCCAAATCAGTCAAATATATACTAAGACAAAGTAGGGACTACCTTGTCTTAGTAAATTTCCTATGCTTTACAAAACCTGACAAAAGACAGAGCTACCACAGTCACTAGTGACTGTTATAGGGAAAATACATTGTCTGTGGAGGATCCAGTGGTCTTGTGAGAGTACAACAGTGACGTGGGTGCCTAGCAGATGAAGTAACATCAGCTGGAAAGGAGCTATAGGAAGACCGTTGTGGCGGCCACGGGGGACGGAATCAGGTCAGTAAAATGTATATTTAGTTTAAAGGGACACTTCGGGTGCCAATAATACTTTAAAGCATTTGATAGATTTTGGCCTCATTATTACGCTGTATTTGTTTGCATACTCAAATCTTTATATTTTTTTGCACAAAGAAATAAATGTATTGCAGAATGCTGCACCATAAGTCTGCCTTCTTAGCCACACACCTAATTCCCGAAATACTTTATCAAATGTAAAAAAAAAATACAGTATATTAATGAGGCCAAACCCTAGCAAATGTATTAAATTAGTATTTGTGCCTGAAGTGTCCATTTAAACTAAATATACATTTTTAGTTACCTGAATCTGTGCTTAGTGGCCACCACCATGGTCTTCCTAACGCTCCTCTTCTACTCCTGGAACTTCACACTACTCTTTTTTTTGTATTCCTATGTCTTAGTAACAGGAACAGACAGTACAGCATGGTAATAATGCACTTCTAATTTGTTACCTTATATATTTTGATGTTTGCCTGCTCATTAAATATACCTTTTTTTGTGTGCCCAGGCCAGGTACTGAGTTATCCAAACAGCAACCTAGCTTTGGACCTCGGTCTGCTCTTCATTATGGCAATTCTGGAATTTTTAAGGCTCTATCTTGGTATGTATTTAACAATAAAATAAAATTTGTCCAGCAGCCATCCCACCTCAATATAATCCTATACAGGAAATATCCAGGCTTGCATGCCATCAACAAAGATATAGAAGGCTTGGCACTTTTTTTGTTGTGATCCCTTTATTCTGTTCGTAAATCAACTTTTACAATCTACTCTTGCAGGAACAAAAGGAAATTTGACAGAGGAAGAGCTCCCTCTAGGGTTCAGCTTGTTCCTCACCGCAGGAAACATCATCCTATCCATTTATTTCATAGTGTGGGAGACCTACATTCTAAGGGCAGACATAATCATCAATGCCATTTTGCTGGTCCTCTATGGGCTTGAAGTTATACTGGAGCTGTTCACAATTGCAGCATTTTTTCGTTAAAAATGAACCAACATCACCACTTGCATCTTAATTGAACTGCAATTTTTTTTATACATGGTTTCAAAAATACTTTATAGAATTTATATACGGAAGTTATTATCAATAACACTGACAGATGTACTCTACAGTGTTTGCAACCTGTTCAATAAATTATAATTGTATTATTGTTTATTTAGATGACAGGATAAAAAAATATTGACAATTTTCCTTTAGAACAAGGGTTGGCAACCTATGGCCTGCATTGTGCCTTTGCCTGGCACACAAGGCCGCCAGACTCAATCGGGGCAGTTGGGGACATCAGAGAATCTCCCTAGCTGGCCAAGAGTACACAACACTACACTACAGAGAACTTGAACAGAGAACTCCCTAGTGAACCAACACTTCTTAGTGACTCAGAATGTTGCTGCAGGTTACCACGACAACACTCTGACTGACTGGTAATGTTCCAGGTAAAAAGGAGGGGGCAAAGAAAAAGTTTACAAAAAATGTAATTACATTTACAAACAACACCACAGACTGTCCCCACTACATATGTACTACAATCAATCCACCTACACACACTTATCAGAGACAACACACACACAATTTCACATAACAGGCAGCCCACATACACACACAAATACCATGAGCAGTTCACATGCAAACACATTATACCACAAACCGGGCACACACATACATAACACAGTAACACGAACAACACACTACACACATACACAACTCCACAAACAGCTCCTGCCATACACATGCACACCGTATCACAAACAGCCCACAGTCACTCTCAAAACTGTACAAGTCAACCCCTCCACACACATTAAAACAAACACCAATGCACATAAAATACTACACACAGCATGTATATACCCTCACATAACACCATACACAATACATATAGCCAACACACACATACAAACTCACACACGCCAAACTCTTCAACATACATATGCATGACTTTAAAAAAAATAGAGCCAGCACCCTAAGGGTGTTCAAAGTTTTACTTTGGTAAAGCACTACCAAAGGTTACCTAGCCCTGCTCTGAAAGATCAATAATTGATTACCCCTGCAAGTGTGGAAGAGTACAGACTTGGAAATTTCTCTTATTTGGAGCTTTATTTTTGAAAATATATAAAAGGCAACATTTTCACACAAAACTATTATTTTTAAAAAATATTTTGCAACCTCTGGCAACTTTATAGTTTCTCATTTGGGAAAATGTGTTTTGAAATATGTTGTGAATCAGACCAAAAAGAACTATATATGTATATTTTTATTAAAAATAATGGAAGCATGTCCTCTGTTCTTGTTTTATTTGATGCTGCCATCTTTCAATTTTATATTTTCTACATATTGTTTTCTAGTAGTTTTCATATCTTTCATTTCATCTATCGATGTGAAAATGACAATTCTAATTTCAAATGTATGTAAAAAGTGTATTAATGAATGATAACTACAACTGTAATAATTGCCTCACACTCATCTATACCTCAATGTGAATAATTAAAGACATAGCATATTTAAAAAATACGAGGAACAAAAAAAGAAAAATACAAAAATATACCTTGGCTTAGTTGCTATCTCTCATGGGGAAAGCAGACCTGTGTTTCCAGACATGTGCATGTATACAATTCTATACTGCTATACAGACAGACATGCAAATTCATACTCCCATATACACATCTGCACACTCACATACGTATTAATAGCAATGCACATACACATCCACAGTTGTACACTTCCTTACACAAAAACAAATACATCTACACACACATAATATATGTGGAAATACTGTAGAGGTACATTTCAGGGTTCCAGATTTCCACTCGCCCACCAGCCATTGGTTAGTGAAAACTAAAGGGATCCTATAGTGCCAGGAAAACAAAGCCGTTTTCCTGGCACTATAGGGTTAATCGTGCCACCCTCCCGTAAGGCTGACATACAGCCACTTACCTAAATCCAGCGCTGTTGTACCTCGGCGCTGGGTCAGACTCAGCCCACTCTTCTGCCCCGCCGACAGCCAGCAGGGGAGACCTAATGCGCATGCGTGGCAATGGCTGTGTGTACATTAGACCTCCCCATAGGAAAGTATTATTCAATGCTTTCCAATGGGGAACATCTGATGCTGGAAGTCTGTGAGGACATCCAGCGTCAGATAATGGACCAAAAGTCAGTTTGGATTCCGGAAGCCATGTTAGACAGCCACTGAGGGCAGACTTAGAGCTGCAATGTAAACATTGCAGTTCTCTTTAGCACTAAGTGCAAAAGGGTCACAGCACCCAGACCACTTCAACAGTGTCCTTTAAGCCCTGGTGAATAGAAATTCACTTTTGGTGAGTGAGTGGACCCTTCAGACTTGCAATGGCGAATAACGTTTAGTCCTGTCTAGTAATGGAGTTCTTAAAAATTTGAGTCCTATGTATGTTATTTTTATGCAAGTGTTTTCTTAGACAGACTCTCTTATATGTCTATGGTGGATGAGGTATGAAACACCCTGGTGTTTATTTACTGAAGTGAGAATTCAAAGTGAATTTCAAATATAGGGTCAAACATAAAAAATTCTCTCTGTCATCTATGCTTTCAAAATAAACCAAAAAAACAAGTGTTGCGCTTCAATTCATACTTCACATTAATGGTGAAAAAATCTATAAACAATATAACAAATAGAATCTAGTGCTGATTATCCTTATTTACCGCAACATATGTATAAAAATGTAATAGCACACACATATGAGGGTTACGCTCACTTTTACCAGAGCCCTATCAACCCTGGCTCTGGGTGAGAAAGGCTCCTCTTGAGAGGGAATAACTCCCACAATCCCCCGACAAGACAGATTTAAATCCATATAGTGGCAGTGTAGAATCTTTTAGTTTGAAGCTATAACGGAGACAGAACCAGGTACCCCCAATGGCACAGTATAATCGAATAGCCTTTATTACAAATAAACAATTCAAAACTGTAATAAAAGCTTTTCGATTACACTGTGCCACTGGGGGTACCTGGTGCTACTATTCCTGCACTAGGGATGCCGGAGACACAAGGAGGGTAAGACATTCAATTGTCTGGTTTGTTTGTGTTTTTCTTCTAAATTTCTAGTTAATAAATATACGGGCATCATATTCTGGTGCGTCTTATGTTCTGAAGAATATGGTATATGAAATCCATATCAATTATATATAAAGCACATTCCACCGTGGTCTAGCATTCAAACACAAATAGTGAAATATATAAAAATGTTATGTAAGCACCAGTTTAAGAGAAAAAAAAATATGATCTTGTTAACAGCATGCAGAACATTTGCAAATCTTTGCTATAATTAGTATAGAAGCATTTTAGGAATTCTGCATTTAGACTGTCTGATCAAAGGTAAAGGGAGGTGGAACATTCTCATGGCAGCGTACAAAGTTCATTCAGAGAAATGTGATCATTATGAAATAATCAGTCGAAACAAGTTTTCACTGGGTAAAGAAGCGACTCTTGTGTATGTTATGGTACAAGAAGTGCCTTTGTATTCCTAACATAGCTAGAATTCTTGTTTGTTTGTTTTTTAAATGTCAGATTTTTTTTTTTAATTGACATTTTCTGTAAAAAGTACATCAGATACAAGAAGGAAAACAACAAAGCTAAAATAAAATAACATCGGGAAGAAGGCCCGTACGCACAAAACCGCGAGCATTGGAAAAAGAGCCATACGCGAAAAAAGACGAGCTAACCAGGCTGGCAGCCCATGGTCGGGCCCCCGAAAGGTGCGGGGAGCCTGGATCAGAACCAGCCAAAGTGGCAGATGCCATTTACCCCAAATTGCCAACCGACATCGCCCCATAGACGACAGCAGCGAAGACAACCGGAAGGCGAAATGGAGAAGTAAGAGCGAGCTCAGGGGGCCCCCACCAGCAACAGCGTGGGGAGAGACGAACAGGCACCGCAGAAGCGACCCAAAGTGTCTGTGTGTGGGTATGTGTATGTGTGCTGGCATACTAGCTAATACCAAAAGGCGAAGCAATTAAAACTAGGTTTGGTGACCGGTGAGGCCCTGCTAGATGCCAAGCGGCATGAGAGGCTCTATCTACGAGTTGGCGCGAGGGGATAAAGTGGCCACTGTACGTTGTGGCGGGTGGTTGGCCTCTCGGTGACAGGTAACATAAGACAGAATGGGAGTGACAGGTGAGGCCCTCCCTATGCCACAATGCGAGGCGACTAACTATGATTTGGCCCGAGGGGCGTAGTACCTCCGAGTATGAGGATGGGTGTTGGCCTCGCGGGACCACTAACCTAAGGCGAAGAAGCCGGGGGGGGGGGGATTACAAACTAGTGGAACCCTGACAGCCAACCACAACTAACTAAGAGGGGAGGGAAGGTAGTAGTGTGAGAGAGGATGGATGTGCTGAACGTGTATCCAAAATGTGAGGGTGAACGAGGAAATACCGCAGGGTCAACCAGAACCGAAAGGGGAATAAGCACGTAGAGTCCAGGCGGCCAGGCCGAAAAGGAGCGAGCTTGGCAGTAGGCAACAGAAACCGCGGTGGTGTAAACACCACGGAGGTCACGAGACCCAGTGCGAGCGCGTATGTGTGTGATTGCATGCGGGAGTGCTGGCATGTTAGCTAATCTAAAAAGGCGAAACAATAAAAAACTAGGTTTGGTGACAGGTGAGGCCCCGGCGTGAGAGGCTCTATCTATGCGTTGGCGCCAGGGGATAACGTGGCCACCGAAACATTGTGGCGGGGTGTCGGCCTCACGGTGACAGCTAAACATAAGATAGAATGGGAGTGACAGGTGAGGCCCTCCCTATGCCACAATGCGAGGCGACTAACTATGATTTGGCCCGAGGGGCGTAGTACCTCCGAGTGTGAGGATGGGTGTTGGCCTCGCGGGACCACTAACCTAAGGCGAAGAAGCCAGGGGAAATTACAACTAGTGGACACCTAGGACCCTGACAGCCAGCAACAGCTACCTAAGAGGGGAACGAACCGTGTGATGAAAAAGAAAGGAGGGGTATGAGGAAAATCGTAAGGCCGACCGTAACTGGAGGGCATAGTGAGCCCGTTGGAGTCCAGGTGGTCAGGCTGTAGGGAGTATGCATAGAATGCGCGTATGTGTGTATAGCCCAAAACGGGCTAACGAGGACCAGATTGTGGGCCCGGGAATAAAACACATAACGTTCCGTCCGGAAAATAATGTAGCACGGTTAGGGCGAAGTGAAATGCAGGTCAGACTCCTCAACGAGACCGAAAAACGTTCTATAACGGTATATATGCAGCCGCAGACCGCGCATTGACATAGCAGTAAAAGAAACCCGAATGCGATACACCGGGTATCTTCTATAAATATATATATATTTAAAAAATTTTTGTCTCTTACCGTTTGATTTTATTTAGGTTATTTTTTTTATTTTTTATTTAATTTATGTTATTTATTTATTTTATAGTATTTGTAAAAGAGCTCCCCCCCAAAAAAAAAAAAATCTCCAGGGGAGGACCGGTACATAAAGCCAGTTCATTTCTGCCCGTGTTATGCCATTGGGTTGCAATGCATTACAATCCAGAGTTTAGTTAATAACCCTACAAGTTGGAAATTCTGTGATTTGACTTGCACCAAGGCCTAAAACCACGTGTAAATGAATTGAAAAATGATTCAAAGTACCAGCATTTAACAGCCCTTTCCAAACCTAGCAGATTCGAAACCCTGCTCCCCTCACATTTCCCATCTGTTTCGGCTTTAGTACATACCATAGACCGGTTAGGGGTTATCCCGCAATTGGTCACTGCATTGCTGGGGCTCTATCTGCCATTTGCCCAATGGAAAATGTATATTTCTATTTCATTTGGACCCAGCACACGGTATACATTCCCACACTAACCAGGTACGTCGCAGGAAGGCATGTAGCAGGGCACAGTATTGACCAACACCTCACCAATGCCAGAGGGCTGCCGTGCAGGGAACCAGCAGGCCGTTCGCGGGAAAGACACGCAAACGCAACAACAAGAGGAACAAGGGCAAGCAGAAACAAAACACCCGAACCGGCAACCAAAACACGAGAGAGGGAAAAACAAAAACATGCGAACGTATTGGAGAGGGGACATACCTAACCGCGAAGACACCGTGGGACAGCGACCGTGGCGCAAACGGCAGGGGGCAAGTGACTCACAAAACGGAGAGTCGATGGGACGGACAGCGGAGGCTTGGAGTGCCAGGGACACCACGAGAGCCAGAGGAGGGCCCAGAAGGACCGTTGACAGCGGGGAAACAGCAGTCCAGGCAATGAAGCCACGAGGACCAGGTAAAGGGCAGTAATGGCGACATGTGAGTCGCTAAAAAAAAGTAAGGGACGGAGGAAGGTGAGTAGGGGGGTTTAAGTAGGGAAACATGCCCCTCCCACAACTGCAGGCCAAGCCTTTATGTTTATGGTATGTTTGCTGTCATTGACCTGCATACTGGTTCAACCTCCCTACAAAATATAGGCAAATCCATGGACCGCTGCAGCACAAGACCACACCCAAGTAGAGTGCAAAACTAGTAAAAAGTTAAACACAGCGCTAACCCTTATCCTTCTTATTGCTATTGTCAATGAATATCCCTGATTGTTTTAAAATATCACGCTAGACAAAAAAGTCTGTGTGCAGACACCTCTGGAAGCATTGGAGATATTATCACCATGGTAGTCATTGAAACCTTGGATAGACATGGGTGTCAACCGAATTCATGACTTCTCAATCAACGGTTCTACCCTTCCCTGATTTACAACGGAAATATAATTTACCTAACTCACTTATTTTTATGTACCTTCAATTAAAGAGCATCCTAATAACAAAAGTTATGTTCCCAACGAACACGTCCACCCCACGAAATGATTCTCTAACGCAACTCCAAGATAGATGTCTCTCTGCCCCAATGAGACCTAAAGCCCTGTCTCTCTGTTATCAGGCCTTATTAGACAAAGCTCCACCAAGCTCCTTTAAATACGTAGCACAATGGGAGAAAGAAGGTATACCCAGATCACGGATGAACAGTGGCTCAAAGCATTGAATGCACTTCGGGGCATCACATCTTGCTTCTC